CCAGGCACCTCTAATCTGAATTGACATCCTCACACATATAGTCTTACTCAGAAATGTTTGGAGCTGTACACATGCAGAATATTTTTTACACCACATAATCCTTGCATGCTCTCAGGCTTCCCATTCCCTATCAATAAGCAAAGATCAGTGCCAGAGCAAATGTTTTCTTCATTTAACTCCATGGAGCTTGCTTTGTAGATGTTTTTAAAAAGATGGACAAAGGCTGGGATGGAAAGACATAAATTTAACTAGCTTTATCTTTTGTCTGCAAGCCCCATGCTCACCAAAAATTTAAGTGTGTGATCTAATAGATGTGGGGGCGTACAGCAGAATAGGAGGGATGGGAAGAGGAAGAGAAAGCCAAGAGAGAAGAAAATGGAAGGGAAGGGTTGAGAAAAACTTTGCACTTAGACAATTATTTAATTCTTGAAACTGGATAATCAATTCATTATTTAATTCTCAGTATCCAGCACAGTGTGAAAAACAATAAACTAAATGTTACAAAGTATTACTAAGAAGTTAATAGGAATATCCTTTTGAGTAGACGGGGACATTTTATTTATTTCTAGAGTACAAAAATAACATATGAAAGCATAGAACCTAGCACTGAAATCTAGTGAGTGAAGCCACAATGGTTGGAAAAGTTAACAAGTTTATACAACTTGATACTGGTTAATCAATTCATTATTTTCAAGATCTGGTTAAACATAAGCTAAACTGTGTCTATACAGAACAAATTCAAAGAACAAAAGTCACCAATACCGTTATCAAACATTCTCTAAAATGATTCTTTTTCTACAAATGTGATACAATGCAAAACAGAACACACGAATACAAGACGATATAATTACACCCTTAATGTATTCATACCTGTTGGTCAATGAACTGTAACAGAAGCCACACCAAATGGGGAAATGAAGCAGCATAACTAGCAAAAGTGGGGAATTATACAACACCTTGGAAACAAGCCAAACAGACATCTTAGGTATTTTCAAGCTATTAAAAAATCTCAATATAATTTGTCTTTCTCTTCAGTAGCAGTTCTCCAATTATATGTGAGAACACCACTAGCTGCTGTTTTCGAGTGAAACTTAAGCAAATATCTGCCTTTGAACTCAGGAAACTGCCTTCTGAAGGGCCACTTCTCTGGAGAGTAGACATGGGAGAGTGGCATTTTGAAGCAGTGCCTTCAACTGTGCCCATTTTGCAGATTTGTAAAATTATAGGAGCACCATAGGTTTCTGAGGATGCAACCTTCTAAAGGAAACTAAACCCACCCAAATAATAACTGTGACCCAGATGTTTCTCACCATGTAGGGAAGTGAAGCATGCATACTACTATGTTTAACATGTAGATACAGTTCAACTCAGAGATAGCAATTAAGACATACAGCCTACTATAGACACAAGCACAACTACAGATCTTCCCATCAATCAGGAATGTTCCACGTGCATTTCCCAAAGGAAGAGAATACAAATCTTTGATCATTTGTCTAATGAAACACTTAAAAAAAAAAACGGACACATTAAACCTGACTCTTACTCTGAGGTTGCATCCACACTGTAGAATTCATGCAGTTTAACACTCTTTTAACTGCCATGGCTCAATACTAAGGAATTCTGAGATTTATTCTTTTGTGTGATATTTTGCCTTCTCCCTCAAGACAGCTCTGGTGCCGCAATGAACTACAAATCCTAGGATTCCACAGGATGGAACCATGGCAGTTAAAGTGGTGTCAAACTGCATTAATTCTGCAGTGTGCCAGCAGTCTTGGTCTATGGTAAACAGCAGGGGTAGGCAACCTTTCCCCTTTAAGGGCCGAGGGACTTC